TTTTAATATCAAATTATGCTGTATTATTGTGGGGCATAAGACCTATGTGGTTAGTTAATATATTATGGTCAATGTCACCATGTTATAACCTCTAGAACAGATTGATTCTTGAGTATTAAAGAAAAAAAAACCCGTTAACAGAATTTTTAAAATCTTTGTTTATACAACACTTCCCCAGCATCTACAAGACTACTTGGCATATAGTGGCTACTCAACAAATATAAATGAAAGAATAAATGTCATAGAAACAGATGTATAATGAAGCTTCATAAAACTTGCTAAAACATGATCAAAGACAGTCTGCTTCAGTAAAGATTACAGCCTAGGAAACCCCATGGGGCAGTTCTACTTTGTCCTATAGGGTCACTATGAGTTGGAATTGACTTGACGGCAATGGCTTTGGTTTTTGGTTTACAGGATGGTTTAAGAAGAGATGTCTAGTAGACAGTTGAATATAAGTTTACAGAACAAAAATAATTGAGAGTAATTAAGTTTGGGAAAATTATCTTTTTTTAAATTTGGTAATTTCTTCCATTCCGTTTTCTCCTTTCTCTTTCTGAGATTCCTATGAAGTCTCCTAGATTGGTCTTCCATGTCTCTTATTTTCTGTCTTTCTTTTTTGGCTCAACCTTCTGGGAAATTTTTAAAAACTTTATTCTCCAACTATTAAATTTTATATTTTTGCAATTTTCTTTCCTCTGTTCCTTTTTCACAGCACCCCCTTTGTAGCCTGATGGAGGTAATGTATTCTTAAGTCTAACAGGATATTTATCTATTTATTTTTATAAAGTTTCCTTCCATCCCCTGAATAATCTATTTCTCTGGGGTCAGTTTTTCTACTTGTTAATACTGGTCTTTTTTCTTTCATGCTGTTATACTGTTGTCCAATTTTCATTTAAGAAAAGATTAGATAAGTTGGTATGGGTTTCCTCTGCTTTCCAGCTCAGTCTCTTCCCTGCATGAAAATTCTACCTAGGAACTCTGGGTAGGGCAGGGCAGGGCAGAGCAGGGCAGGGCAAAAAGGGAGTGTCAACTGCCAGGCCTTGCTTTAGGGCGAGAGGTGACTGTCAAGACCATGGGGCTTTCCAAATGCCAGAATGAGGGCTTTAACCTAGATGACAACATGTGTTCTGAGCACGAGGGTAGGAGAGGGGGATGGGGTGCCAACTGGTACAAATCATTCCATATATAGGACTTCAATTAATCTGTTTGTCAGTACCACTTCTCACTCTCACAATCCATTGTACCTGCCAATTCTGGCCCAGAGCCTCGTGGGATTCCCATCAGCAGGCTGGCTCCCAGCTCCTCTCTAACTCCCTCCTAGCACATTCTGAGCTGTAAATCTTTCCACCTCTTTTATCTGTCAACATGCTCCCATCTGCTTTGTCTTCCAGAAATTCATTGAAGACTGTCGTCTGTTGCTTAATACCCCTCCTCGTTCCCTTTCTCTTCTCCTTGCTATTCTAAATCTATTCCTTTCATTAAATCAGTTGTTTTAATTCATTGGGGTCCTGGGAGGGCCTGGAGCAAACTTAAGGCTCAACCCTTCTTTAACTTTCTGGCCATTGATTTTATATGAAGAAACAGGTTGTACATTCTTCATAACAGTTTTTTTTTAAAGACTGCATATGAAGGAAATCCATTTCTAATGCAATAATATACATTTAAATATATATTTTTTGAATTTGTGCATTTTTTCAGCAAGAGAATCTTTCACCATTTGATCAAAGGAGTATGTGACTTCACAAAGGGACGAGACCAGGAAGACACTCAGTTTCTTCTGGCTTTTACGACTTGATGATTGTGCCGTTCAACCAAGAAAAGCAAAGCAGCAGTTTTTGTTTCATGGGGAAGGGAGGTTACAGAATGTTTTCTGTGGGTGTGTGTGGAATGAAATTAATGAGTTTAGCTTTGGAAATACTGATTTTGAGGTGCTTAGTTTAAGAAGGCTGGGTGGAACAGTGGTTAAGTGTTTGCCTGCTAACTGAAAGGTCAGCAGTTTGAACCCACCAACCACTCCAAGGGGGAAAGATGTGGCAGTCTGCTTCCGTAAAGATTACAGCCTAGGAAACCCCATGGGGCAGTTCTACTCAGTCCTATAGTGTTGCTATGAGTTGGAACTGGCTCAATGGCAATGGGTTTGGTTTTTGGTTCATAGAGTGGTTTAAGAAGAGATGTCTTGTAGGCATTTGAACATAAATTTACAGACTGGGAATAATTGGGAGTTACCAACCATGCTGCATATGAAATCACCCAGAGAATAAACAGTTTATATGAGAAAAGAGTAGAACTCTGGGTAATATAACATCTAAGGATGGGTGGAAGATGATAAACCTTTAACAGAGACTTCAATTATGGAGAAAACAGTGTTCGATTATGTCAAATGCTGCTGAGATATCAAATAAGAACAGGACTGAAAAAAAGGCATTCAACTTGTAACTCAGTAAGTACCTTGGTAAAAATAATTAAAGTGAAGTGGTGAATCAGTGGAGAATGAGAACGGCCTTCAGATAATCTCTGAAACAATGAATCTGTAGTAGTACCAATCCCCACACCTGTATGAGTCTCTCCAGTGGCAATGTTAGATGGGAGAGGAGGTAATGGTCAGATTAATTCAGAGTTGAAATTGTGCTAGACAAATGAAGAGTAGAATGAAATAGAATAAAGAACTGAGATTACTAACAAGACTTATTGAAAACAATTCATGCAGTTTAGGATGGACAGGGGAAAATA